AAGTTAGCGTTATCGCGAATCAATTGCTTGGGTACGCGTGAATACGACTGTGCCAGATAACACACATCGATCTGATTGTGCCGACCGCGTGAAAAATACGACCGTACAATACTCTGAGATTCCATTATAATATCGTCAAAAATAAACACCGAGTTGGGTAGCGCCTTCTCGGGTGGTAATACACTGTCGTTTTCTTGAAATTTAAATAGATTCACACCGTCTACTTTGCTCAAAATCTCCTCGAGCATAACATACTTGGGTTGATGTAGAGTTTTCGAATAAATATATACATTTTCGAATTTAAGGCCGTTCGCGTGTGTCAACAAGGTAAAAACTAAATTTGTTTTCCCGCAACCGGACGGTCCGACAATCAGTGAGCGTACCGTGTCGGGGAAAAGCACGCCGTGTCGTGATTTTCTATCACACGTCGCCCCCGGATCGATATTGTTAACCGCGAGTTTTCTCGCCTGTCTGATGAATCGCATTATACTATAAATAAGTTTACCGACACTTTGAACCGGTCATACAATGTCTCCACGTCGAAAGGTGCGGAACAACAGTGGTTCGGGTCTGTTCAACACGTTAATAAATACTTTACCGGTGGAACTACATTTACCGGGATATCAGTTTTGCGGTCCGGGAACCGAATTGAAAAAACGTTTATCGCTCGGGCAAACGGGGGTAAATAATTTAGACGCGGCGTGCCGCGACCACGACATAGCGTACGAGGCCAGTAATCTGTCCGGAGATCGCGAAAAGGCGGACCGCGAATTGGAAAATCGTGCTTGGGAAAATTTTAAGTCCGCTGACACGGGTTTTAGCGAAAAAGCCGCATCGTGGGCCGTCACAACGGGGATGAAGGCTAAACGTAGAGTCGGCCTCGGCGGTGGCGGTGGTGGCTGCGGGTTCAAAAACGTAGTCGGAGTGGCTAAAAAAGCTATTAAAAAATCCATCAAAGCGTGTCCCGGAACGTCAAACATGAGCAAATTAATTAAATCCGGTATCGCTGCGGCTAAGAAGTACACTCGTGGAATCAATACTACGTGTAAACCGCCTAGAGTTATCAAAGTACCACGGACGGGCGGTGCTCTAGCGTTAATACCGATACTCTCGGGTCTCTCGGCGCTCGGCACGTTGGTCGGCGGAGTCGCGAACGTGGTCAAGGTTATCCGAGGTATTACCTCGAAGAGCAACGGTTCCGCAATACAGTTGGGCGGTGGACTATATCTACACCCGTACTCGTCTAAGAGTGGTGGGAGTTATAAAATTGCTAAATCTATGAGGGGAAAAAAAAAAAAAGAAAAAAAATGCAGGCATGGCGAGTAAAAATAAGAGGAAAAACAAAACCGTAAATAAAAAACAAGTATAAAAAAACTGAAACTGCCCAATCGCGCCCTATTCGACTATGAGATTGAAAAATACGCCCGACTCGTGAAAATACCTCACTTCCGCGGCGTGTTCAGTATAGACACGTTGCCTGCCGCACCCCGTGTCAGAGAAGCTGCCGTAGTTAATTTGGACTTTGCGAAAAATCGCGGAACACATTGGATCTGTTACCGGAAAATCAAAAATTTCGTACGGGTATTCGACTCGTTCGGTAACCTACCGCCGCCGCTGCAACTACGAAAATATCTTAAGGGCTGCGCGATAGAATTCAATTACGACAGAGTGCAGGCGTTTGGTACGTTTAATTGCGGACATTTATGTTTACAATTTTTAACCGAATAACTTTGCGCTATGTCGTGTCAAACTCTATCGCTGAGCGGAAACACGACCGAGCTGGAATGCCGTTTTTTTCCGCCCATCGAAGTGGGCGACTCGGCGGAAATCGGACTTCTCGGTCTTCAGACGTATAACTCAATGCCGAACGTCGAACCGGGGTGCGATACATTGGGCATTATCGACGCACGTGGTGATACATCACTGATTCAAATACCTACGGGTTGTTATGAAATAAGTACATTAGAAGCTAAAATCGTGGAACACCTAGCCTCGAGTAGCGTGGATTTTTTTCGAATTGAAATCCGATCCCAGTACTTTAAAATGTACGATACGGTGCAGTAACGATGTTGTGTTCAACGTGAACAACAGTATGGCACCGTTGTTGGGTTTCAATAAAACAACTCGCCTACCCGCCAACATCAAACACGAATCCAGCGACTTGGTGAACATTATGCGAATAAATTGTATAAAAGTAGTACGCAATTTGGCCGTAGGGTCATTCGAGAACGGAAAGCAGTCACATACAATACACGAATTTTATCCAGCGGTCGCGCCGGGATTCAAAATAATCGAAGTACCGAAATATTGTGTTTTATATCGGCTAGGGACGAACACCGTGGATAACGTGCGTGTAACGTTGAGAGATCAAGACGATAAATTAATTAATATACGTGGTGAGACGTTGAACGTACGTCTTCTCGTTAAAAAAAAAATATAATAATAATCGAGATGGGACTCAAATTTAATGTAAATAAATACGTAGCAGATCGCGGACAAACACGCATTAACCGCGTGCCTGTCGACGGAGACACTAGCACTTGCCGGAAACGTGTAGATAAAAAAACATATCGTTCCGTTAACAATATCGATAAAATGCTCTTACAAAGGCGAATCGTGAATTTCTACGTTTCATCTCGCGCAATAAGACGTCATCGTAATAACATGGACCGATCGTATTTGGACGTGACCGAGCCGTACGTGAACGAGGCGCCTATCCAGGAAATGTTTTTACACTCGTTTTTACCGTTCTCCAGCACGGCTATAAACAAAGGTGACGAGATACGTATCCCTATACAGAACAGAGACGCCGTCACACTGCCTAGCGAGAGTTTTATCTACATCGAGGGCAAATTGATAAAACCGGCCGATCTGTTGACCGAAGTCACGTTTTGCCAGAACGGTTTGATTAATTTGTTTAACGAAATCAAATATGAAATTAACTCCGTGGAAATACAACGCGTTAAACGACCGGGTGTGAGCAGCTCGTTGAAAGTTTACTGTTCTTATACGCCCGCGGACGTAAACTGTTTGCAAAACGCTACTTGGGACGATGCGGATTCGAATAGAAAATTTATAAAAGACGGCACGTTTACCGGATGTATCCCGCTGAAACACGTTCTGGGATTCGCCGAAGATTATAATAATGTTTTGATAAATTGCTCGCAACAATTGATCTTGAACCGGGTGACAGACGATCTGGGATCGTTGACGTTTTTCTTGAAAGGTAGTGAAGTTTTGAGCGATGCGACTGTTCAAGCCAAAGTGAAATTAATCAAAATAGAACTGACAAAAGTCATGTGGAAGGTTCCCGTGGTCAAGGTCAATGACAGAGAGAAGTTAAAACTGTTGAAAATTATCGATTCAAAAAAAACGATAAACTGTGCGTTTAGAAATTGGGAACTATGCGAATATCCTAATATACCGCAGACGAGAAAACACTCGTGGATGGTGAAAACCTGTTCGCGTGTAGAGAAACCACGATGTTTGATAATCGCTTTTCTGCGCAAAGACTCCAGTCATATGGCCGAGGAATTCGCCTCAGACTTTGACGCGTGTTCACTGACCAACGTGAAAGCATATATAAACTCGGTAGAATACCCGTACGAGAATTACAACGAGAGCTTCGACAAAGACCAGTTTACAATGTTCTATCAAGGATATGTGGATTTTCAAAAATATTACTACGAGCGCATGACCGCCCAACCGTACCTGAGTAAAGAAAAGTACAAAGAACTGGGTCCGTTCATATGCATCGACTGTTCGCGTCAAAACGATGACGCTAAAACGTCTACTATCGATTTGAGAATCGAATTCGAGGCTGCGAATAACTTCCAGGCCGACACTTCGGCGTTCTGTTTGCTCATTCACGACCGAGTCATTCAATACAACCCGTTCTCGGGGGAAGTCAGAAAAATTTAAAAAATATTATACATACGATTACTGATCATATCAATATTGTATTATTATTTTTGAATATCTGTTATACTTAAATATTATAATATTTTGTATGTGTTAAATAAATACTGTTTCATAATGATAAAATTGGTTTTTATTTACAACAACAACAACATTAACAACAGATGATATAATATTATACAACATTTACTGTGTGTGTGTGTGTGTGTGTGTGTATTCAACAGATGTCCATGACTATCGCGTAGAATGCAGTGACCTTTTTGAACCCGCGTCAATAGTTAACATAACTGAAAAATGTCGGTCCATCATTCTCGTCGGTCATAATGTTTACAAGCTGTAAATGGAAAAATAATATCGTTATTAATATATATATTTTTTTTTAAATATTACACTACAATACAATAATAATAATACCTCTGATGATGATGCATTTAATTTCGCCGACCATAGATCTGCCAGTTGCATGCAGGCGAAACGCTTGATCTGTGCCACATAACTTTGAACGGGTATCCCACCGCACGTTCTCGCCATGCTGGACGTGATCAAGTCGTTGTGAATACCCGATATGAATGCGGCAATGTCTTGTACGGTAGACGTTTTCTCCAGGAAAAAATCCGTTTTCAGGTACTCGGCTATTTGTTCCAATTGCCCCTGTACCAACGGCCTGACGATTGCGATTTTTTGTACGATCGTTTCATTAATGCACGTTGCCAAATCTTGAAGTGTGAGCAAATTTTCCCGGTTTAACATGGCACGTCCTCCCATGACGGATTCTATTGCCAACATATTGTCACCGCGGTACGACATTTTCGACAGTGTGATGGTCTCGTCTTTGAGGAATAGCCTCTCTCGACTTTTTACCGGCGGGTTCGTAATAATTGATAGGATATGACCCATCATGGAAAATATTCGACGTAAAAAGTCCACCGATATGCTCACACACCGCGTGGAAGTCGATATACGTACTGTTACATCAAACGCGTTGGTCGTGGCGTCGAGTCCGATCGTAACAAATTTTCTGTCCGCAAAGTCTATAGTGAACGTAGTGCTGTCCATCAGTTCGAGCGGTGTCGGCACACAAAATTTGTTGTTCACTTGCTTATTGTATATAGCCGCGTTAGCTTCAATACTGCCGGCCATGTCGTGAACAACTCTCACGAAAAAGGGGAAAAAATCGAGAAAAATACGCACGTACAGAGTTACAGTAGTGCACTGTACTGTGTCAAAACGAAAACTGAGGTATAAATATTCAAAAAGTATATTATTGCTAATAAGGAATCGAATATATTGTACGAATAGTGGAGGGGGTGTGGTGGTGGTACAGTAATATAATAACAAAATATATTGTAAATTGCACTTATTTGTATAATCATTGAAATATTACATATCATAGTGATAACGAGTTTTACTCGCTCACTCCGTTCATCACCACAAGCATACCGTGTTATATACCCGTACGACATTTAAGATAAAAACGTTTTAAGATGACGCGCGCGAG